TGGTGAGGGGTAGGCTCAGCAACTCTCCCACGTGCTGGTCTGCGTCGAGTGTCAGCCAGTCAGGGCAGTCTCCAGGTCCGTTGCTGGAGCTGGGCCAGAGGTGTCTGGCCTCTCCAGCAGCTGCCTCTCGAGTGAGCTCTGGGGTTAAGCTCTTATACTTCCTGTCTGGCCTCTGACCCTCTGAGGGGCAGGCTTGGAGTGCTCTGGCTCCACCCACTCTGGTGTTCGGCGGAGCTCGTCCCTCTCGGGGGCACCAGGGAACCACACTGCCTCCCTACAGAGCTCCATGCGGCCATCTTTATTTCTGTATCAGTAGAATCCACTGTTAGCCGCCGAATTCAAGGACTTCTCCTAATGTTCCTGCTGTGGCACTACTTACCTTTAAGGGCCAGCTCTTCTTGTGACAATATCCATATATCTTTTCAGTATATGGTTATTGTCACAGGAAGAGCTGGCACTTTAAGATGGTTGATATTCAGCCTCATCTGTGCCAGGTGTAGCCCACCTTGCCAGATGAATGGAATGAGTAGGACCAGGCATGTGGTGGGGAGCATGCAACTAAGAACCAGGCCTGTTAGGAGACATGATGGCAGCCTCAGTTCAGTCAGGAGAAAGATTCCAGGGAGAGCAGACCTGGGAATTCAGTATAACCTGATCTATAGATTATGAATAAAAATTCCCAGTTATCACTTTCAGGGTAGACAGGTTCTTGTCCCAAGATCAGGTCCAATATTACTAAAATGATTATATATTTGGGGACCCTGATGTGCACAGGTGTAACACTCACACTATAGTAACTCTTCTATATTTACAAATAAATAATTTATGAATACATTTAGCAAAGTCACACATGCTCTAACTCGGTAAGGCAAACAGAGATAATACAAAAGTACATCTGAACATCCATACATACACCATCCCTTGCAGAACAACCTGAAATGTTAGCTATTATCTTCCTCATCACCGTCACCTTCCTCATCTTCACCAATGGCCATCATTCTGGCCCCTCCCAAGGGCTACATCTCTCTCCCTCCCACTGCCCTGGGATGCCACTTTTATAATATGTTCTGCTGACGTTACCATGTCTAATGCATATTCTGTAGGGGTTTCTCCCCTCTTCCTTATCTGTATTTCCTCCCTTTACCATATCCTTTTTCTGTAGGTTAATATATTTATGATTTCACCCCATTATCATATACGTCAATTCGTTGCCATGGCAGTCTTGCGGTTGGATGTTCCATCCAAAACATTCTAGAAGCTGGTGTTAGTTCATGGTGCTATGGTTGGCTGATGTCATTATGGACAAAATTCCCCCTTACATTCTACTTCTAGTTCCCCAAAACTTATGGGTTACCTAAGTTTATCTATGCCAAAGTTCGTAGGCCGCAAGTCTCATGCTAACTGCTGAAGCTAATGTCTTACAGGATACAGGACTGTAGGCTCCTTGCATTACTGCTGAATATAATAAAGCAGAATATAATGCAAAGCAGAAAATGTAATAGAGGTAAGCTAGCACACTGGGCTACACCACTGTTCCATAAAAGAGTGGAGAGTCAGTGAAAACTAGGCTGAGGAGAGAGAGACTTGCAGGGAGCAGAAGCCTGCTAGGCATGGGTGGCAGGTATAATAGGCCAGGGGAGGCTCTCCTCCCCTGGCACTGCTGCGGCCACCAGATCCCCGGTTGCGGGGTTTGGCAGGCGAAGGTTTTGCTTCATTATGCTCCATGCAGGTTCCAGGGCAGCTGAGGAGGTGGTATCTGCTATTCAGCTTTCTGGGTTCATCAGTAATCTCCCTGGACTCCAGAAAGATTCCTGATGTACCCAGGAAGCTGAGTAACAAGTACCATCTCCTCAGCCGCCCTGGAACCTGCATGAGGCATATCAAAAGCATCTTCGGGAAAAGATGCTTTTCCCCTGGGCAGCTTAGGGTCTGAGGAGGGGAGGCCCAGCTGCAGCTGGCCCGGGGATCCTCTGGGCAGGTTTGGGGGAGCTCGGGTCATCTCCAGGCAGGTGTGGGGAGGGGTTGGGGCTTCAGCCAGCCCAGGGTTCCTCTGGCTGAGGCAGAGGCGGCTCTAGGTACCAGCGCAGCAAGCGCGTGCCTGGGGTGGCAAGCTGCGTGGGGCGGCGTGCCGGTCCCCGTGAGGGCGGCAGTCAAGCAACCTTCGGTGGCATGCCTGCGGGAGGTCCGCCGGCCCCGTGGGTTCAGCGGCAATTCGGCGCCGGGTACGCCAAAGGCGCGGGACCGACACAACACCCGCAGAAACCCCACCAAATCCTCATGAGCAGCGGACCTCCTGCAGGCATGCCGCCCAAGACAGCCTTACTGCCGTGCTTGGGGCAGCAAAAAACATAGAGCCGCCCCTGGGCTGAGGGGTGGAGTCCCTCTGGTGGGGGCGGAAGGGGTGGAGCTGTGGGCTAGTCTCCCTGAAATGGGGCTCCACCCGCCACCCATGCTGCTAGGAAGAAAGTCTCAGCAGGCATTGGACTAGGAACCCTGAACCAAGGGTGTGAGCCAGCTAAAAAGGCTGGTTGGAAGATCTGTGTTATTGTAAACTGTTGTTTTTTTAATAAACCAGATGGTCATAAAAGGGACGGCTAGAGCAAAAACACTCGCAGTGTGAAGTCTGATTAACAGGGGAAACTGAGACAGTGGCAGAGCCCAAGACTGAACTGAAGAAGTTCTTGCTACAGCCATGGAATTAGACTAACCTCTTCAGTAGCTTTAGATTCCAATGGGGACTAAATGCTGACAGAAATGCAGCTCTGTATGTCTGAGGAGATGGATGTGCTGTTTGTGTTGTAACACGGATATGAGGAAAATGGTAATACAGTTTGGCCCCAATTTTTCTGCTTAAATACTCAGTGGGTTAGAGAAAGAGCCATCTTCTCTCTTCCACCTGCACGCAAAAGAATTAAGATTTGTAAAGGGGCTTTAAAATGGCTTCTGTTTTTCCACCTACAATTTTGTGTCTGCTGCTGACTACAGGTGCAAAAATAGAGGCCAGGTTTTAAAAGCAGACATATAAACCATTCCTCATGCACTTAGCCCTTTAAATTGGGAAATGCAGAATCCTAGTTATAGGATAATAGGAGTCTGAACTGCACTTCAGAACACTGAATGAACATTAATGGTATTAATATTATTTTTTATAAAGTCTTTAAAAGCCCTTTTTTTCCCATATAAATTTTGCAGAGACTGATTTGACTCCCCCAGATATTGTCTGGGGAGGTACCTATAGGGGGGAAATGCTTTTTAAAAGGCTTTTAGAAACAGGCAGCTCTGATTTCTCTGAATTAGTAATTCTGTTTCCCATAAAACAAAGATGGAACTGGCATTTTTCTCCAAATGTATAAACAAAGAGCACACCGAGTCATTCACAATTAAATCTAACCTGCTCACAACCCACACTCTAATCCTGCACATATTGAAATTACTGTCAAAAACACCCATTGAAACCATGGGAAGCACCTTCCATTGCATCACCAGTTCTGATCTGGACAAAGACACACGGGAAACTTTACATTTTCTGTTTTTTTTATGTATGACAATCTGTATCTGAACTACTAACAATTAACCTGGTTCCCTTGCTTTGCGATGTTCTGTATTAAAACCACTGACGGAATAGCCATTCTCCATGGCACCATCTCCTTTTTAACCTCCAAATTTCTCTGTGGGCAGAATTAATATAGCTCAGAGCCAATGGCAGCTCAACTCCTGCTATACTTCTCCAAGGCAAGAGATGATGTGGCCCCAAAACTTTATAGCACACATACAGATTGCTGGCTTTTGATTGACACCATCTGTGTCCACCTCCAGGTTTGTAACAGAGCCAGTTTGTTAGTCCCCAGGGTATGCTGCAAGGACCATGTTTTCTCCCTTGTCTTTGAGGAGATGAGTGCCAAGTGCATAGTGGTGGAGTGGATGTCTGGGGATTATATGTGTGCTGTAATTTCTATTTCTATTTATGTAGTTGCTGCATTACTTCATTTGAGCTGGGGGAATGTATGCATCTGTTTAATGTATTTTTTAAAGATTGTCAGGGATACCCAGGAGCACTGATAGGGTGCTTTTCATAATTGTTGGTAAAAATCCAAATAAATAAATAATGATGGTGAAAGAATGGCAGAGTTTTTCACAGAAACTCCTACATTAATTTGTACCCTTAGGGGAGAAATGTATATGTATCATTATGATTCATTATATCATGAGGTAGGCTGAATAACGTGTGGTGGTGGTTTAAAATTCAGAGAACATATTTTGGGATAAATCTGATCTTTAATGAGAAACCAGTCACTGTCAATTTAGATTGCTAAGCAGAATTGCTAGGGAAGTGGGTAGCCCTTGATGAAATAAGCACTAATAATAAGAAATAATGACCACCTGTCATTAGACTACTGCAAATGGAAGTGGGAGTTGAGATTTCAGACACTCTAGGAGATTTATATGTGTACCTACAATTTAATTTTAAAATTAATGGCTGGTGTGTCTAAATTTCCTCAAGTGCTTTGAAACCTCAACTAGGTTACATAGTTGGGGGGAAAATTGTTTGGTGACCAGCACACAAGCACACGAAGATTGAGAACTGGCCTATATAGGGGCTGCAGAGCACCATTTAAAGTGTGTGTGTGGGGGGGAAATAGATCCCTGCCCCCCACCTGACCCTTCTCTTCTCCTCTCTGGCCCCCCCACCATCAACCTGACCCTCCTGGCCTGTGACCCCGTCCACCCACCCCCTTTAAATTTGAGCAAACCGCACTGCAACTTGGTGCAGGGGTTTGTCCCACTCAAGTTTGTCCCAGCAGCCCCCCATCATGACAGAGAGGAGCCCAGGACAAATTTGAGCGAGTGGCATTGTGACCTGGCACACATGGTCCCAGCACCACTGAGGTTTGGCCTGGCCAAAAAGTCAGGCCGTAGCATAGGCTTCATGGCCTATGGGTCTAGGTCTCTTAGTTTAATTCCCTTCTCAAATGTTAATATTCTTTATTATATCATTCCAGGTGGAGAGAGAAAAAGCTATTCTCCTGGCCAACCTTCAGGAGTCCCAGACGCAGCTAGAACACACAAAGGGAGCCCTGACTGAGCAACACGAGCGGGTCCATAGGCTCACAGAGCACGTCAACGCCATGAGGGGACTGCAGAGCAACAAGGAGCTGAAAGTAGAGCTGGACTGTGAGAAGGGCCGAGACTCTGGCGAGGAAACGCATGACTATGAAGTAGACATCAATGGCCTGGAGATCCTAGAGTGTAAATACAAAGTGGCCGTGACAGAAGTGATCGACCTTAAAGCTGAGATAAAGGCCTTAAAGGAGAAATACAATAAATGTGTGGAAAACTACACAGAAGAAAAGGCGAAGTATGAGAGCAGGATCCAGAGGTATGATGAGCAGGTGACGAACCTGGAAAAATCAACTAAGGAAAGTTACGAGAAAATGGTTCACATAGAAAAAGAGTTGCAAAGGATGACGAGCATAGCGAATGAAAACCATAATACCCTCAACACAGCCCAGGATGAGCTGGTGACATTTAGTGAGGAGCTGGCTCAGCTCTATCACCATGTATGTTTGTGTAATAATGAAACTCCCAATAGGGTCATGTTGGACTATTACAGGCAAAGTAGAGTCACTCGTAGTGGGAGCCTGAAGGGACCTGATGATCCTAGGGGGCTCCTGTCTCCACGGCTCACCAGAAGAGGAACGGCATCCCCGGTAGAAGCCAGGACCCCAACTGAGCATGTTTCGAAAGAGAGCATAGAGGCTGGCAAAGAACAAAGTCCAACCAAGACACCTACGATTTCTCCTGTCATCACGGCCCCTCCTTCCTCTCCCGTCTCTGACACCAGTGACATACGCAAAGAGCCAATGAATATCTACAACCTAAATGCAATAATACGGGACCAAATCAAGCACCTGCAGAAGGCTGTAGATCGGTCACTGCAGCTGTCACGCCAGCGTGCGGCAGCACGTGAACTAGTGCCCATGATTGATAAGGACAAGGAGGCCTTAATGGAAGAGATACTGAAACTGAAGTCCCTGCTGAGTACAAAACGGGAGCAGATAGCAACCCTGAGGGCAGTGTTGAAAGCCAACAAACAGGTAAGTGAGTAGCAATGCTGTCAGTTTGTGGTGATCAGTATTTTCATAGCTGATTTATGCGCCTTTCAGCAGGTATTGTGGTAGACATTTGAAGAATCAGCTGTCCATCCTTCCAGTCAGTCACAATAAGGCTGAAGGTTTTCTTGTTTTTCTTGTTTAACTCCCTGCAATCTTTCTGCAGAGTCTTTTTGCAGCACCCAACCTTGACCTAAAGGATGGGCAGAGTGAGTGACTTGCTGCAGAGTTTGAGACCTCAATGTCATTACATGGATCAGCCCAGGGTGAAAGTAAGTTAAAGGACTTACTGGTACACCGGAGTCCTGAACAGGGGTGTGGCCTCAACTGGAAGAGGCATGGCCTCAACTGGAAGAGGTGGGGCCTTTAAATAAAGTTTTAAAGGCCCTGGGGAGTCCCGGGCCCTTTAAATCACCCCTGGAGCCATAGGCGCCAACTTTTCCGGCGCCAGTGGTGCTTGACCCCTCCCATAGCCCCGCCCTGACTCCACCCATGCCCTGCCCCCATTCCAATCCCTTCCACAAAGTCCCCACCCCACTCCGCCCCCTCCCTGCGCCTATTGGACCCCTTCCCCAAAACCCCGCCCCGGCCCGGCCTCTTCCCTGAGCGCACCGCGTTCCCCCTCCTCCCTCCCAGCGCTTGCCGCTGCGAAACAGCTATTTTGCAGTGGCAAGCGCTGAGAGCTAGGGGGAGAAGTGGAGAAGGCGGAGGTGGAGGTGAGCTGGGGCGGGCGGGGCGAGCAGCTGCCAGTGGGTGCAGAGCACTCACCAATTTTTCCCTGTGGGTGCTCCAGCCCCAGAGCACCCACGGAGTCAGCACCTATGCCCGGAGCTACCAGCTGCAGAGGTGACTGGGAGCCCGGGGCTCAGGGGTGATTTAAAGGGTCCGGGGCTCTGGCCGCCACTATCGCAGTGGAGCTTGGGGTCCTTTATATCGCTGACGGAGCCCTGCCGCTGTTACCCCAGGGCTCTGGCAGACAGGCTTGGGTGGCGAATTAAAGGGCCCGGGGCTCCGGCAGCAGGGAGCTCCAGGCCCTTTAAATCCCCACGGGAGCCCTGCCGCCGCAGGAGCAGCAGCAGGAGCCCCGGGCCTTTAAATTGCCGTTCGAGCCCGGCTGCTGGAGCCCCAGGGTAGTGGCGGCAGGGCTACCGTGGGGATTTAAAGGGCCAGGGGCTCAGGCCACTGCAGGGAGACCCGGGCCCTTTAAAGCGCCGCCCGAGCCCCACTGCTGGAGCCTCAGGGTAGTGGCGGCAGGGCTTTGGCAGTGATTTAAGGGGCCAGGGGCTCCGGCCGCTGCGGGGCGCCCTGGGCCCTTTAAATCACCACCAGAGCCCTGCTGCCACTACTCGAGGGCTCCGGCAGTGGGGCTCAGGAGGCAATTTAAAGGGCCCTAGGCTCTGGCCACTGCAGGGAGCCCTGGGCCCTTTAAATCACCAGCCTGGGAAAGCCGGTCCAGCTTATTTTCACCTCCGGATCAGCCTACAGGAGAAGGAGAAGGGCAGTAAGAAAGGCACAGATAGAGCCGAGCCCTAACATGGCTCCCTAGTGGGTCTCCTGGTTTGAGAAGAAACCAGGTTTTGAGGGCCACAACCAAACCTGGGTCTTCCAAATGGTAACATGATGTGCCATAGCCTCAAGGCAGTATGCAACTCCAGGGTGCTCAGGAATTAAAAAAACAATTCATTGCATTTACACAGCCAAGGATCTCAAAAGACGTTACAAATGTGGGTATTGTTACCGCATTTTACAGGTGGGGATACCAAGGCATAGAAAGGCTAAGTGATTCCATCAAAGACATGCGGTGGGTCAGGATTAGAATCCAGGCCTCCTGACTTCCATTCCCCAACTGTAACCACTAGACTACAGTGTCTTTGTGCTATCCTAACAATGGTGGGTGCTCTCTGCTAAACAAATTCAGTGACTGATCCCTTTATAGTCAACAGTAGTTAAATGGCAGCAATAACCCACGCACTTTAGGCAGGGGAAAATATTTATTTATTTCTGCAAAGCAAAATTATCAACAAAATTGTAGACCCTTCTGATTATTGAACAATGTCTGATCATTTAATACAAATGAGTGGATCAGACAACTCTCTTGGGTATGCAAATCTCTTATCCAATTTGGATACTAGTTTGTCACTGCAGTCACCTGGCCAGATATAATGGGTCTGGTTTTCCTTTCTATATTGGTTTTAAATCAGTAAAACTCTATTGACTTAAATGCAGTTACTCCTGATTTTGAGCGGGTTGGAATTTTTCAAATATTTGTTTTCCAGAAATGCCATTTTGTTGCCATTGAAATTTTTTTTCTGTCATTTCTAAAATAAGAAATATTGAATTTTTAAAAAAATATGTATCACTTTGGGACAAAGCTGATCAAAAACACCCCACATTTTTTTATTTTTATTTTGAAAATGATAAAAAGGAGATTAAAACATTTTCAAAAATGAAATAAAGATTTTAAAATTTGTCTCAAATTTTCTTTTCATTTTTTGACCAGGTCTATTCTTGATATTGTATAGTAAGACAAGAATAAGGCGCATTGTATGTTAAATGTAAAATGTCAATCATCACCATGTTCATTTATTTGTGTTATACCCCTATCGCCAACCCTTTGCTTTTGTATCTTTAGGCTTTGGTATCTTTTTAGGCACTAGTCTTGAAAACTATTATGCACGTTGTTATCCACAAAAATCTAGGGCACCCCGCCTATACCCTGCCAAGGGCTCAAGGCATGACCTGGTTAATTTTGGTACCCTCACCCTTTCCCTACCGAGGGCTCGGGCTTAAAGCACATACCCTTAACCATGGAGCTCAGGGTAAACCTGGTCAATTTAAGTACCCGCCCTTTCCCTCTGGGGCTCTGGGCTATACAGGTCTGCATAATGTTTTCCCAGTGAAAGAGCCTTACACAGCTGTGCTCTAAACATCTATTTATTAGCAACACACACGGAATACATCGGCCAAGCAAAGCTATTATGCTCGCCACTCCCAATATACAGACAAACTTCACCTGATGGCTAGTCAGGATCCACTCATCTGGGGATGCTGGTGCTGCCTCTGCACGTTACGGTCATGCAAGGGGGTCAGAGTTCTAGCAGTTTGATGTTGAACTGCAGGCCTGAGATGGTTCCCAAAGAGCATTGGTTTTCATTTACATTATATAGGTAAACTATATAAACTAGCTCCATCCTTCAAATTTACTAAACCTACTACATTATTCAACACCCCTAGGTAACAACATTTAACCAGTCATGCACTGGCACCTATGTTTTCTCCTCCCTGCTCTTTACATTTTATCTTTCATGCCCAAATTGTACCTTATTTATGACCTTTTTTGTTTGTGCAGATTGTCAGCATAAATTCGCTGGTCAGAGCTTATCTTATCTATTTCCCCATTTGTTGGGGTTTTTCTGTATCCTCCCTAAACTTCCCAGCGCCTGGGTGTCTCTACTTTACAACCCTTGAGTTAGAACTCTTGTTAGGGGCATTCCTGAGGTGGGGGTGTCTTAGCAGCAGAGCATTTTTTCTTAATTTTAGTGGTTAAATCCCTGAGTTTCACCCAAGGCTAATCAAGGCTAGTTTAGTATGGGGATGAGCTAAATCCCAGGTCTACACAAGGCTGGTCAAGGCGAGGTTAGTGTGGGGGTGAGCTAAGTCTGAGGCCTACCATGTGCTTAACTTTAAGCAGGTGAATATTTCCACTGACTTCCATAGAACTACTTGTCCTCAAGCATGTGTTTAAGTGTTTGCAGAATCAGGGCCATAAATTGTAAACTCTTGAGGGCTTTTCCATCATCTGTGTTAGTTCAGAGAACAGGACAATCAGTCCCAATCCTGATTAGGGCATTAGGTCACTACTATAATATAAATGATGATAGGCTGAAAATGTAAAATCACCCAGAGGTCAGGAAATACAACACTAAAGATTCCAACAGCAAAGTTAACTTGGCTGTATTGTACATGCAGTGAATTTTATGCCATATCGGTTTTTTTTACACATATATTAAGATACACACTTAACTAGAGAAAGATATGGATCTTACATATGTGAAATGAAGGTGTTGCAACTCTGCCCTGAAAAGTTGTTGTGTGAAAAAGCACAGTGGGATTCTGTGTCTGTTTCTCAATGACTCCAGTCGAATGTGCTCAGTTTGCAAGTAAAAAGACGTCTCTTAATTACTAACTTTGCAAACTCATCCTAATGTTTGAAAGCCAATCAGCTTTATTTCCATGTCATGCTTCACCAACAATAATCTAACTATTAATAAAGGTCCTTATGAGGCCCTTATCATTATAGTATCTGAGCACGAGTAGCCCCATTCTAATACAGGTATATTGTCAATGTAGATGTGGTGTAACTGAGACACACCCTTGTTCTAGGCCCTTTGATCTAGGTAAAAGGGCAGAGTGCAGGGGCTGTGAAAGCCTCAGACCCAGCCAGGGGAGGATTCCCCAGCACAGAACCTCAGAAGAGAGCCCTAAGGCTGCACTCAGAGGACCCGGGGGGGTGAGGTTGAAGGGCTGCTGGGGCTGCAGTGCTCAGAGCTGAGAAGATTCCAGGCAGTCTGTGGTAACTTAGGTCCTGTCTCAAGTAAAACAGTTAGTTCGAGTTAATATGTTCCCTTTACTGCACTGGAGCTAGTGTAGCCCAGAACCACCAGACTGCAAGGCAACAGCAGAGTTACATGGAGTCATTTGATTAGCAGCCCAGAGTGATTGGATTAGCTGATGATGAGTTATAACTTGAGCTGTTGCATCTTCACTGCATTATTAGCTCAGGCTTCAACCCACCCCACTAATGGGCCAGCTATCTCCTACCTCAAGCTTAAAGTACCACTTAACTCAAGCTAGAGATTTCTGTGTGTGGATGGGAATCTAGTTAGGGGTGACACTCAAGTCACACCTTCAGACAGTCTCCTAGGGCTGTCTATGTTATGCCAGGGGCCACAGGACTGGGAGGAGAAAAAGGTGGCACAAAGCCA